TGTTATTTGAATTCTTAACGTATTTTTAAAATTTGAATTTTTAACGTATTTATTAAATTTGAATTTTTAACGTATTTTTGAAATTCGAATTTTAAATGTTTTTTTTTAAATTTGTATTTTTAACGTATTTTTGAATTTTGAACTTTTCTCTTAGTTTTGATTTTTTAACAGATTTTTGAGTTTTAAATTATTAACAGCCATTTAAAGTTTGAAGTTTTTAACGGTTTTTTCAAATTTTTTTACTGATTTTAAATTTTAACACCTTTTTAAAATTTAATATTTTTAACTGTTTCTTAGATTTAAATTTTAACGTCTTTATTAGATTCAAAATTTTACTGGTTTTTCAAATTTTCAACTGATTTTTGAGCTTCGAATTTTTAACGGTTTCTAAAGTTTTAAATTTTTTTCGTGGTTTTTTAAAGTTTTCGCCAGTTAAGTAAAAGAAGTTACATATTCTTAAGCTATTGCATCATTAATATCAAATCCCCAACAATGTCAAATCCCAGACGACTTTATATCCCAAGATACAAAGTGCATCATTATGCTGCCCAGATTTTAAAAAATCAGCTAATAACAAAAAGAAGTCCGATCGAGGCTTAAAACAAAAGAAACATTCTGTCCTACAATGGAACGATCAACATAAATTTTCGTGGCTGGCGCCGTATTCTGGATGAAATTTTTTATATATTCACTGTGTGTCCATCTAGAATAGTGAAATGAAGGAAACGAAGAGAGAAAATTAAAATATGCTGAATGGAGCTTTAAAAAAAATGCGCATCTCACATCTCATATCATGTCTTTCTTTTTCTCCTCAGAGTCAACTAACTATATCCCACAATATTCAACTTTGTGTGTAGCTCTTTGTGCGCCTTTCGATTAAATGGCTGTATAATGTAAACGATTTCTTATAAAACAAATATGCGAACGACAACGTAAAGAAAATTGGGAGAAGAATTAAGAGAAAGAAAAATAAAAAAAAAGAGCTGATCGCTTGGAGCCCTCCTATTGTGATCTGCACAGGTATAAATACAATACATAAATTTATTTAAATTTAATATTGGTTAAACATAAAGAAATGGAGAGAGAAGAACTATTCTAAATAGCCTCGACAGTAACATTGTTAATTGATTTCGTGTTGTGTGTGGAGCAGCGCAAAAGCGCCGTTTCATGTATAGTCGCGCACATATTATTATTATTATGGTGAGGTCGCTCGTATAGTGGCGCTATAATGCCAAATACACAACACACTGTGAGAGTTTTTAAACAACATTAAAAGAAAAGAATGAAAAGGAAAACGTGGACGGGACAAGACACAAAACACAAAAAAGATTAATGAATTCATTTCTCTTGTGCCTTCATTCGATTAATGCTGCTGCGTATGGATGACTATTATGTCGCCCTAGAATTTTTTAATGATTTATTTCATTAGTTCAGTCCTAAATACACCTCTTGTTCCTATGTTGCAGTCACAGAACAAAAGAGACGATAACGAGGAATCGTTTAAGCAATAACAAGGATCCTTACAAATGAATTTTATGTTGATTCAATCTTATCTCGTTTTTCTTTTGTTCTCTTGCTCGTTTGCCATCGCCAAAAGTCGCTCGCCAGGTAGAACTCGCAACATATAAAAAAATATTGAATTTAAAAAAAGGGAACAGAAAAATCTTTCATAGACAATTTGTTAATGCAACCCTCGAGAAAAAAAAAAACATTTTTTCTACTAAATGATGTTATTTATCTTGTAGGACAATGGAGATAAAGTTATCAAGCCACTAATGAGAGGTGTCCCTTACTTTCATCATCATCATCGTCATCTCCTTTTTGTCCTCAATTATCGCGTGATTTTTACAAGAAAGGTGATCATTTACATTACTTTTGAATATATTTTTTTCTGATATGGAACTTGTTTATTTTTTTAAGTGGTGGATGGAATTGAATTTTGACGATTTTAATGGGTTTGTTTAGCTTCTGTGTGGTCATGATTGCAGGTTGGGTATGGATTGTAGACTAATTTGCATTTTTTGATTTTAGTCTGAGTGATTTTTGAATTATTTTAACAAATTTACTCATGAGTGCTTATGAGTGCTTATGGGGGCATCTAGTAGTGACGCTTATTGTGTAATCGAGTTTTATAGATTCGCGTGGGATAGGATTAATAAGTTTCAAAAAGCCTTTGCGAAAAGGAAGGTTTGTGACTCAGCAATACAAAAACCTATAATGGAACGTTGAAGAGTGGGTTCGATCCTTACCAGATGTCAAATCAATTGAAAGTACAAATTTGGGATTGACAAGATTCGAACATTCGATCTTTGCGCGACCTTATTAACTTCAAGTCGAGCGCCTTTCTCTTTCCTCCACAGAGTCATTCAATTTCTTCATCTTCAACCAACTCAATTGCCATAAGAACCCCAATTACCACTTCTCACAAAAAACTAAAATCACATCCAACGCCAAAAACTCCTTTCAAACCAACTCAAACAAAAATGAACAAGTTGAACAACATTCTTAGCACATTTTCCTTTGACATCTCCTGAACTTTTTTTTACTCTATTTCATCATGCCACAAAGAATTTTTGCTGCAACTCAACATTCCATTCATTTTGGCTACCAAAAAATTTTCCGATTCATGTGCCACCGAATCGTACACACTCAACACAACAGACAGAGAGAGTCACGAGAAGAATGAAAAGAGGCAAAGAAGAAAAAAAAACAAAAAGAAACGTCTTTACTGTCACTTTTTATCATTTTATTGACATGAAGAGAAATAAGACTGAAATCTACCGAATTGGAATCGTCTGGATTACCATGTCATGTTATTACCCGCTGTTACCAAAACATCTCTCACAAAAAAAATATAAAAATAATACAAGCATTCATAAAACATTTTTGTGTTGTTGTTGTTGGTGCTTGATGAACATGCCATTTGAAGTGGAGCCAAAATAGAAGCATCAAAAAAAGGAGAAGAACGAAAATCAAAAGAAATGAGAAACTTTTTTCCGGCATATTTCTTTTTTTAAAGTCGCTCGTAAAAAAAAGAGAGAAGAACTACACGAATTGATCTAAAAAGTCGTTTATTGATTTTATATTCTTCTAAACATTTATGATGTGGAGATGAGATATAAATGAAAATTAAGGTTGCGTCACTATGGGAATTTTGAGACTTGAGGGGGTCGATGATGTGAGATTCATTGGCCACAGTTGTACCCCCTCAACATCGCCTCTTGCAAGAATTTGTCATCAATTAATAGTGTTAGAAGCATTAGAACAGCCAATTGACCTTTTAAAGTTAGTTTTAGGATAAATTTCTAATACCTGGAGATCCTGGAGCTGCTCCTGATTATGAATTTGTTGAAAATATGAAGCAGCGTGATATCCAGGCACAAAAAACTGTAAATATGTTTATAATTTTTTTTTCACAAAAATTTTTCAAATCAATTAAATTGAGTCTAAAGTTGCTTCAAAAATGGTCAAAACCCGTTACGGAAATTTTTAAATAATTCATTTTTTTCACTTATTACATAACTCAATAAACTAGTTGATTGGATCCCAGACTTTGCCCATGGCATACATTTAATTTTTGTTTGAATTGTCATACTGCCTTGAGTTCTACTCTCATTTTAGGCAGGTTACTTACTACCTACAGCTGGAAGGGGGTGTACAAGATTAGATATTCAAATATAAAACTAAATAGCTTAAACATGAGTTTGATGAAACCTTGTACGTATCAGTAGATTAATCAAGAATTTTGGTTGGGGATCAGGAGCGTAGCCAGGTGGGGGGGGGGGACAAATACCTTTACGTTGACAGAAATTTCTTCATTTTGCTAAGATTTTTATTAATCACCCCTCTTCTTCAAATTTTTTATACAAAAAATATTTGATTACTCTATTTGATTACTCCCCTGTTTGGGATATAAATTGGTCTTAAAATGTAAAAACATTTTCTTAGCTACTTCAAGCTCCCATGTTGATTCAAAGTCAATTTTTAAAAAATCTTGGACACAAGTTTTGTTACATCTGTAGATGTAATGAGTCCAAAATACCCATTTTCAGTCTATTTCAATACCCAAATGATTCATAAGACCTTATAAATCTATTAGAATTTTACATCATATTTGCAAAAAAACTTTATTGACAATTTTTGAATTGATTGAATAAAATTTTTAAGAAGACAACAAAATTCAGTTCCCCATCATCCAAGCCTCGACATAATAATGAAAATAATTCAATTTTCTAACCCATGCGAGTGAAAACTCCTTTGACATGCATAAAAAGACATTAATATTTTTTTTCATTTCATTTCTGTCATTTTTAGAGCATTTGTCAGAAAAGTATTGTAAGAATGTGCCCTTTTTCATATCGCAAAAAATTAATCATATTCTATATCAAGAAGCATGCGAATCGATTTGTAACATATTTTCGTACACAACAGTGTCGCCGTGTTTTATCAATGTTTCTGTTCCAATTCCATCATATCCCACTACACCACTGGCTGTATCTCAATTTCATTTCATATTTGCTTGTTGACTTGGTGAGATGGATCAAAGACATAAGAACAATAATAATAATAATAAAAAGCACACAGCAGAGAGAAATTCAAGAATATTATCCAAAAAAAAAACTTTCAGACTCTTTTTTTTGCATTTCAAGCGACTGGCGCCTGCTCGAATAAAAAAAGAATTTTTTTCACCTCTCTTTTTCACCCAAACGGCTTTTGGAAATCGTGATGGAGTTTAAATATATACAGTGAGGTCTTTGATACAATTTTTTATATTATAAGAAGGAAAAATTTTACTTGCAAATGGCGCTTAACGATAGAATGTGTCATGATATGTGGAAATTTATATTGTAAAATTATAAAAAAGGGAAAAGAAAGCCACAAGAAATTAAGAATTTTTTTATGGTCTTATTAAATTATTGTTTATATTATTTGTGACCATAAGACATGTGGTCATATAATTTATAAGCTTTAATGAACTTAATTTTGTTTTAAATACTTACAGAACAATGTGCTGCTTGTGATCCCTAGAACAAGATTGAAAAGTTTTTCATTTAAAATTATGTTTTTTTAAGGTTGGAAATTCGAAAAAATTTGAAAAATCACAAGCTTTCGTAAAATTGTCGCCAAATATAAAATTCAATTAGAAATCTTTTTTTTAACTCTCGTTTAAATTAAAAACAATTAGATATTTATTTCATAATTAATTCCCTGCAAAAATGTTAGCGATAAAAAAAAATTACAGAATTTATAATTTTAAAGACCATAAATATTCAATTTTCATCATTTTTTGTGATACGTAAAACTGAGACATTCAGCACCGGTACTCATTAACTTTGGAACTCAATAACATAAATTAAATAACATTGGCGATGGAATAGCTAATTATTAAGTCATTGAAACGATGATGTTAAAAAATTTACCTCTACTTTTTATAATTTCATAGACTTAAAGCTACCGAAAAATTTACAAGCTATCAAAAGTTATTGAAGCATCTAAGAATTCACATTAGATACTATGTGAGAAATACTTTTCTATCGTAAACGCTTTACTTTCGGATTATTTCAAAGAATTTTATAAGAAATTTTCTTATTAGCAACTTAGTTGAGTTAATTGGGTATAATTTTCTGTGGAATCAGACTGATTAGAGAGAAATTTCTTGAATTAGTTTTAGAATTGAGTTTGTGAACTGAACTTGATTGATTTTTGAGAATGATAAGTTGATTTATCAGATTTTGTAAGAAAAATTATTTGAATTTTCCCGCACTTTTCTTGTTACCAATTCTCAGATTTTTTTTTTAAATTAATTATTTGTGAATAGATTGGCTTTGAAATAACTATCAGAAGAGCTTTGCTCACAAAAAACCAACCTATTACAAGTTATGGAAGTCTTCTAGCTTCAATAATTGTGTCAAAATTAATGATTTAAATCTTCAAGTGAGAATGTAAACAAAACTTATGTTTACAAAGTATTATACAAACAAGAAACTGCAATTTATAGACAAATAAAGTAAAAGAATCACTAAGACTACAAAATTATAGTTTATAAAATATATATTTAGTATTTGGCTATCTTTTGTATCAGTTTTTACTAGATTTAAGCTTTTATATTAAATTAAAAGTATTATGTGAAAGTAAATGCAAGTGACTCTAAAATAAGCAAAATAAAGGCTGAGCTACTTCAAAAAAACAATCTAAAGTAAGATTGTCAAGAAATTGACTTAAAAATCGATTCAGCATCGAGATGGACGACACAAACGCCATTTTAAAAGACAAATTTCAATTGTTTCCCTCGATACTTAAAAACTAAACTTCATTTTAACCAACTCTCGACTGTCTAGAGCTCCTCCATATAATCGAACCTCACAATTCATCCAACAAATCGACAGTCAACAGTAGACATACATTTCCAAACTCCATATCTCTATTCCACAGAGATTTCTTAAAGAATAATAAATTCTCAACTGTATATAGCATCAAGAACAATAATAATGGCGATGACAATAAGAAATAACAAGAGACAGTCAACAGTGATTGATGTTATCAAAAGAAAAGAAGGAGAAGCACAAAAAAAATTGAGAGGAAACATTTAAATGAAAAGAAAAAAAAAATATTCTCAAGTGTCTTTCTTTCCCCGACGATCTCCAATTCCTTCAAGTGTTCTTTATTATTTCAATTTTATTGTCATAATAATAAATAAGAAGGAATAAAATTTTTTTTTTTTGATGAGACAGGAAATTTTCGTTTCTCGCGATATGCAATAATAATTTGAGTAGGAATAAGAAGCACAAATTGCATAGATTGTGAAACCTTAGAACATGAGAAGAGATTGTCCAATAGCGCATGCTTTATAAGATGGACATTTTCTTTTCATTTGCTTAGAAAATTACTTGTCATGAACAAGACATTTCAACATGATGTATGCCATGACACATAATCGAGCTTTTGTTGCATATTCTCTCTCATTTCCTTTCATTTTCATTCCCAACACCATCCATAAAACTTTTTTTTTTAAATGTTGAAGTGCACGGAAAGAGAGCAAGTATGGAGAGAAGTAGTGAAGAAAATAAAAAAATCTGCATAATTGAAAATAAAAAGGGTTGGAAGGTACAAAAAAAAAATGAGTGTATAATGCGAGACGAATGTGTGCATTAAAAAATGCATGGCGAGCATAATTACAGGCGATGAAGTGAATTTCTTTGTGCATTAAAATAAGTGAAGTGAATACACAAATGTGCGCCATAATGCATTTTTTTGTCACACATATAAGGAATAATTATAACACGACAAAAAAAAAGAGAGTATGAAGTGCATCATGGTATATGCAGTTTCACGTTTATATGTGTAAATTTCCTTTGTGCGACATGGATGACATGGATGACATGGCATGACAAAAAAAAAACTAATTTTTGCACATTTATTTATTTTTTTTGACGTATATGCATGTACGTACGAGTCACATTACAAATGAAATTATGATGAGGAAAGTGTTCTTATGTGTGGAATGATCATCATCAAATATATCTCGCCACACCTATATATACGAATATATCTGTGCACGGAAAAGGTGGAGCGGCTAACGTACTCACACACTCTCCTTTAAGAATATTTTCTTCTTATTTTTCATTCTTTTCTGGTCAGTTGAATCCTTTTGTTCTCTTCTTATTCGCGAGACTACATTTGCAATCTTTCTACAGCTTACTTTTTGTTCTCATACACAAAAACGAGTTTTTTGCTTTGCTTTGCTTCTCTTCACGAAACTCATAAAAGAAATCTCAAATCTTTGCACATTCACGACCACACAATAAAATTATTATTTAAGATTTCATCTTGATGGGCACTCAGAATAAAGAAAAGAGAATCTAAAGGAACTAGTTTAAGAGTTTTTTTCTGATGGGAATGCCGATTTGAAGCGCATTTTTGAGTGTCTAGTTTGTGAGAATAGGAGGAATTTCATGATATCTTGATGTTTTAAAGCTGAGATTATCAAAGATGTGGTTTAGAAACAAATCTGTATTAAAAACCTCTTTGAAACTAGCGTACCGCGTCACACAGTTTGAGAGCAACGGTTTTAAAAGATATTTGTGTGAAAACTAAGAATCGAACTTAAATCCTTCGAAAAAGTAATAATTACTGATTAATTTTTAACTTAGCAGCCACTTAGCAGCTCCTCATCCTAGCTTTGGCAGATTTGTCTTTATATGGCTAGACTCTCTAGATCAGTGTTGTCCAAACTTTTTGAGACCCGGTACACCTTGAAAGTATCCATGTCCAAAAGCACACAAGGCTTACAGTTCATGGTATTTTCAAAAAAAAAATCTACGGCACACTAGTGTGCCGTGGCACACAGTTTAGACAACACTGCTCTAGATTTTCATTTGAAGCTATCATTAATTTTTAAGCGACTGACTTTTAATATTGTATGAAGACATTCAGATACTCTTTAATTAAGGAACTCATTAAGTAAGAAACTCTTAAGGCAAGGAACTCTCTAAGAAAGGGATAAGGTGTAAATAAAGACACGTTTTGTTCATAATATCGGACATTCGAATTGCTAGCTAGCAATAGTGCCCGCTTTATGCAATGTGTAAGGTTGGTTATGAATCCCAGTATAATCTATACGGCCAGCGTTGTTAAGAATAAATTTAATAACGAGATTACTATTTTTATTGAAAATCTAGACTAAATTAGATTGCATTCATAAAAAGTGCATAGCTGTGCCGCAGTTCCATTGTAATTCTATATTATTAACCTTCAAACCACTATTTTCAATCAAAATATTAAACATTAATTTAAAATCCCTTTTCAAAGATGGCTAACCATGCCACACAAAGCTTCAATCCCATTCAAACCCCCATAAACCCAAAATGCATTTCTCAAAAGCCCTAAATTCACAAAAAAGACACACAACTCAAATCTCAAAATGAAAAAAATATTCATATTTAATATGAATTAATAAATTGAGTGTGGGAAACATGCGCGCATGTGAAATTCATTTTTTTTGTTTCATCACTTAAAATAAAGAGTTTGTTCAATTCATGCATGAGATTGTAAAGACATAAAGCAAGAAGAGAAAAGAAATTTTTTTATAATTGAATCTTTGTGCATTTGCAGCGACACTTTATGACTTAATTGATTTGTCTCATTTTTTTTTATCATATACGAGTCACCACATAACTTTCGCTCACCATAAATTAAAACATTTTCATACATCGTAATGTACAGTATAAAAAATGGGTAAAGTTGTTGATTATTTATTAATAATTCCGTTCATTCATTCAGCTGAATGGAATGTCACTTTATGTGTTGTTACTTTACTAGTTTCAGCGGGACAATATTGCAAATATTTATAAATATATGCTGAATTGAAGCATATTTTAGTCTCTGCAACTGTCCCGTCCACATATCTCTTTGTACCTTTTTTTTTGTTTGTGTCTCATTTCATTCACTGTCGATTTAATGATTTAATTAAGACAATTTAATTGAAAATAATTATGCAACCTTCATATGTGAAAATGATTAATGTATGTCTTGTCATGTTGATCTAATTTTATGCGCATGCTAAGCTTCTCCGTCTCTCAGATCTGTCGAATGTGCACACACACCGCACGTTACAATGTCTTTTAATAAGAAGTAATAGTCGATTATATAAATATATAATATTATATTGTATATTTAGTAAGTATATTAGTAATGATAATGATCAATAAGCAGCAAGCGGATGTTCAAGCTCAACAGATATTGTCAATGAATTACTTAATGGAAAGGCTTCTCAGACTACTTCATGTTCACTGCTGATTATGTTGTAACAATGTTTTTTTTATTTAATTAGGTGAGATATATTTTTACAATCATGTTTTATGCTGTGATTTTCATTTTCATTTATGCAATTATTTTAATAAATGTTTATTGGATGTTGAGTGTTAGGTGCGGTGATGGATGATGAGGGAATTAAGTGATTTTGGACTGGAATTACTGTGGAGCTTTGTTTCAATTTACTGTAATTTTCTTGCATTATTTATTGCAT